TACTGTCCGAGATATCCCATTATTCGAGCTAACATCTTGTTGTCCGAGCCAGTGGCGAAACCAGCCGGTCATCTCGGGGAGGGCCCAATTTGCCGCGGCGCACCCACCCCACTCCGACATCGGAAGGGCGCTCAAAGGGCTTTTGTGGACGCTCTCAAAAATTTTCGCAATATATAAAAGAATACTCTACAGATTTTTCTAAAAATCAAACTAAGTCCGAAATTAAACTGGTATACTTAAACTGAATTATTTTAACTCGAAAAATACCCGAATTTATACTAATAAAAATCTCGGACGCAATTATAATAATAATAAAAAATTATACCTCCTTTCGAATAGACGAAAAGCTGAAAAATTTGAGAAAACGAAGCCTCGAACGATCGAACTCGTCCTCGACAAATTTGCTCCTTTTGATACTATTTAACGCAGAAACTCAAACTCCCATAATAAATGCTCAGAACTCCGAAAAATGCGAAATTTGTCCGTATGGAATCATGTTTGAATTGTCTAAACGCTCCAACTCAATTCTCGTTAAACCGAGGTCACACGCAACCTTACTGAACCCCGCAAAACGGCTTTTTATTCTTCTATTATGCGCACTCGGCTTCGAGCTACTCAAAATAAATGCTCCAAACTTCGAAACGTGAAATAAATTTTACGAACGGCTTCTACTGTTCTCGTGCTTTCAAGAAAGCACTCCCGCTAATTTTCAGCACGCCTAACGAAGGCCGACGGTCACCCGAAGTCTAGACATGAAAATGACAATAAAATCACCGCCACTGTCATTTTTCTCTCAACTTCGGGCTACCCAAAATAAATTGTCGAGACCTCAAAATCATAAACCGATGCCACCAACGCACTCTTCGCTTCCCGTACTTTCATAAAAGTATTTTTCGGTAATGATCGACTCAGTTTTTGAGTCCCGTCGGTATACCGCAAGTCGGCTAATAAACCAACTCAAAATATAATAAAAATGAAAAAATTATTAAATTCTGCTGCTGTTATAGTTCTCCTTGTTCCGAAACCAGGATCCCGTTTCGGGGAAGGCCCAATTTGTCTTTAAAAAAAATTTTCACGACAAAACCGGTGGCGCCCCTCCGCCCATGTATGTACCGCATGAAACCGGGGAGGGCCCAACATGCGCACTCAAAGGAAAATCTTCCAGTTCCAGCAAAATCCTCCACCCCTAGTTTAATG